CCATTTTTCGAGGTCAACAGGTTACAAATAAAAAATTTATACGTCACAATTTATTCATCGGTCACAAATCTATCATATTAATAGGTCACATATTATTCATTGGTCACAAATCACAAATTTTATATGTAACATTATTTTACGGTCACAATTCAACAAATTTATATCACAATTTGTTCATTGATCACAAATCAAAAATTTATGCGTCACAATTTATTTATCGATCACAAATCACAAGTATTATAAGTCACAACTTATTAGACAGTCACAAATAATCAAATTATCAGTCACATATTTACAATTTTTTTGGTCACAAATTATATTTTCCATTGCTCACATATTGTTTATTGGTTACAGATTAATCAATTTAATGGTCACAATCAATCAAATAATTTGTGACCACAACTGACCGCTCCTTCCAGCAGCACCAGCACCACCTCCCGACAGCAGCACCATCTCAAACAAATCAACACATCTCAGAAAAACACGACCACATCGTCGTGCCGGATCCACTACCACCTCGACACGCCCATCGCCACCAACATCTCACCATCACCTCCGACTACCACACCGACTCACTAGCACCGCAGCCAATGTTATCAGTCACCACCACCGAACCACCACCACCAAAAAATCAGATCTAAAATTATCAGTCACATAGCACCGTCCCCTCCCGTACCCAACCACCGCATCACTACTTCATCCAATCCACCAACTCCACAAACATCAGCACTGCCTATAGCGTCATCGCCAACATAACCAACCACTACATTCACCTTAAATCCACAACAAAATCATCGACTACAGCTTAGGACTACCATCTTCCCCACCACAGGCGATCGATTCCTTCACGTTGCTGCCTCTAAACATATTGCCTAAATTTCTCCTTACCTCGCATCCGTCAATCGAGCCTATATCAACAACCACCACCTCTACCACACCACAACCACCTTCATTTAGATTTGAAAATCGTTCACTTCCGTTCATGAATCCCGTTAAGGAACAATAAATCACTGTCACACTGGGTGGCGATGGCGTCGAGAGGTAGATGCAAGGGAAGCGACGAGGTCGATTTGGGACAGGAAGGAAATGTACTTTGTAGATGGTGTTGATATGTGTTGGAGTTGGTGGGTCAGCCAGAGGCTCGAGGTTGTGGCGATAGTTGATGTAGGATTTGGAAGAGAAGATGACGGTAGAGGAGATGGAGGAAAGACAGCGGCTGCATTTGTGGCTATGGAGGGTTTTTTTTAGCTTGTGTAGTGTTGGGGCGCGTGGGTGGTGGGTGGGTGCAGGGCATGGGTATATGGATGGAATTGGAGTTTTTGTTTTAATTTTATCTTTTTAAAAATTAAATTATTAAAATTTTAATTATCATCTGATTTTTGAAATAAAAACTTGTAAATTTGAATTTTGAAATTAATAGTTTAAAAATCAGGTATGCTTTAATTTCCACTTAGTTAATACTAACCTGATTGGTTTCAATGCCAGTTTGGGTCCAAAATCGGTCCAATCCAACATGTCACCCCTATTAGTAAATACAAAATGTAAAATTTTTTGTTGTAAGTTATATATTTATTAACGAATGATCATTATCCCTCTACAATTATAATTATTATATTCATTGCCGTCCTAATTCTTTTCAAAAAATATAGAGTTTTGCTTTTCAATCAAATACACATAAGTTTTTTAACTCTTCTATATTTTCTTATATTTTTCTCTCTATTTCAAAAAAGGGAAATGATGTACTACATGTAGCGATCCTCTTCAGAAAATAATGCCCTTTTTGATATTCAAGATTTTATAGGGAAAATGGAAAATGATTTTCATTTCCACTCATTTGCCTTGTTTGATAGGCATTTTTTTCTAGGCAATTTTTTTTTCCACCTACTGACCTCACGTGCCTCTTTTCCTTATTTTGCTTGAATTTCATTTCCCACATTTTTTGTGGGAAAACTGAATTCCAGTTTTTTTGGCAATGGAAACCAATTGTAAATTTTTTTTTTTAAAATTTTGATGGACAATTTTCATGTAAAACAAAGACAAACGAACACTAAATTTTGATAAAAAAAATGATTTTTTTACTTTTTGGCAATGGAAACAAATTTTATAATCAATTGTGAAAAAATTATCACTCTAATAGACATTTTTCATATAAAACAAAGTCAAATGAAAACAAAAAGATCTAAAATTTAAAAATTTTTCGGATGGAAAATTATACCAATAAAAAACACTTCTTTAACAATTCCCTACAAAACAATTTTTAGGCAATTACTTTTTTTGAAATTCATTTTCTTTCCACCCATTTTTCACCATTGCAATCAAATGGACCCTAAGTTTTAGAAGATTTTTTTTATTATAAAAAAAATTTAAAAAGGAAGAAAAGCGTGTCTTTTAAAATATTCAATTATTCAAGAGTGGGGAAACATTGGGAGGGTTTCCATCCACTACAATTCTCTCAAATTCCAACCAAAATATTTGTTCCAAACCCTAGAAAACCTAGACAAAATTGACCGATCGATCGTCCCCAGAGAATTGGGCATTGGGAATGTCGGAGGCGTACGAGAAGGTTAAAGGCGGAAGATTGATCTTCAAGGGCGGCGCACTCGCCACCCGCGACAAGCCCATCGACAAGAAGAAAAAGAAGAAGAAGAACAAAATCGAATCAAACGACGTCGTGGAGGATGCATCCACTACCGTAAACGGTGATTCAACTTCGGATATTTACACGATCGACGCTGCAAAGAAGATGAAGTACGATCAATTATTCCCAGTTGAGGCTAAAAAATTCGGGTACGACCCGAATGCCAAGGTCAAATCCGTTGAAGAAGCGCTAGAGGACCGGGTCAAGAAGAAGGCCGACCGTTACTGTAAATGAAGATAATTTCTTATTTCGCATTATATATGGGTGTTTTTTAGGTACTCTACTGTATAACTGAATTCAGAATTATGGTTGCTAAAAATCTAAATTGATTACTTGTTGGATATTTTTCTTGATTGATTGCTCTGATTGACCTTATTGTTTTCATGTTAGGGTTCTTTTTCTTTACTGTTGGTTTGGTTTAGTTTAGTTTAGTTGATTGCTTTTGATTAATTTCTCTACTGAGAACCTGAAATTTAAAGATGCCCATTTAGGATGTTTTATTGAGAAACAGAATATTGATGAATTAGGATTATTTCTAGAAATTTTCAGCTTTAAGATGGTTTATACTAAATTCTGTATTTTCTGCATTTATCTGTGGTATTTATGTCATATTTCCTAAGATTTCGTGAAAAGTTTGAGGTAGTAGACGAGTGTATGTCTTTGGTATTTTAATTTTTGCTTGTTTTGAAGAATTTGTTTGATTGATAAGAATTTACATTACCTTTTTATGTTTGATTTCAAGATCCTACTATAATTAATTAGCTGGAGATTATTGAGAGTAGAGCAGAGTTTGGAGTTGTAAAAGCACGAAAAATAGTTAATAAAATGCTGGTAAGTCTGTTAATTGTTTACTAAGCTGCAGAGTATTGGGAAATTCTCCTGCTATGCTGAATTTCGTTCAGGTAAAAACTTTTGATAGATAATTTGCAATTAGAGTAAATAATTTCTTTTGGTGAAGAACCTTAGAACATATCAGAATGTTGCTTGTGGCCCCTTTTCTTTTCTTGTTATGAATATTAAGACTTTAATTGCTTAACTTCACGTCAAATAGTATTTTAAATTTGAGGAAGAACAATGCAAATCTTAACATGATGTTCATTACAATGGAACTGAAAAAGTTCTATGGAATTTGGGAGCTATTAATTTCAGGTGTTTGCACAAGAATATTGCTAAATCTAGAACATGCAGAAGTTTGAAGATTTTTTTACAGTGTTAAAAGTGCTGGATTTTCTGCGTCTAGAATATAACTTTGAAGTTATACAGGCTGTTTTTGTTTTAATGTTTGTGTACAAGAGACTGCTAAGATGTAAAGAAAGAAATGCTTAGGATCTAATAAGGTAAAATAAATGATTGTTTGCTAAATTTTAGTTTGTGTAACTACTTACTAATCGAACTTTAAAAAGTAACTTAATGCGCACTCAAGTGTCATAAACGTAACTCATCCATCATTTAGATGGAATCCAGTTTGAAGCCCCTAACTAGTGTTGTTTTCATATCTGTTAGGGCCTGCTTGTAAAGGTTAGTGTAGTTAGGGGCTGTTTGGAAGGGCAAGTTGTTGACGTGGATTGTTTAACGGTTAAATAATGCCATGTCAAATTTTCATCCGTCACGTGGACAGTTCCATCAAAGGCTTCAAATGGATTTCATGTTGGTGATGGATGAGTTACGTTTATGATACTTGAGTGAACATTGGATTACGTTTTAAAGTTCGATTGGTAAATAGTTATACAAATTAAAGTTCAGTGACCAATCATTTATTTTACCCGGATTTGATAACCCTAAACTTTTGGTTCTTTGTAATGGTTGAGATTATTTGTTGATTGATTCTAGCTGTGGTGAATAACGACAATAAAATGGCCTATTTGTAGTATGCAAGTAATCTACAATTTAATGTTTTTGTAATGGTTGAGATTTCTGATTGATTCTAACTGTGGTGAATGGCCTATTTGCCGCATGACACTAATTTATGGTTGAGATTACTGGTCTAGTGATTCTAGGTGGGATGAATAATGGAAATAAAATGGCCTATTTGTAGTATGCTAGTAATTTACTACTAAATGTTCTGGTAATGGTTGAGATTATTGATTGATTGATTCTAGCTGTGGTGAATGGCCTATTTGCCACATTCCAGTTATTTACTCAACATTGTGCACTATCATATCTATCCCTTTGTGTGTATCATACAAGGGAAGTTTAACAATCAGGAAAACTTAGCTGTGATTTCAGATCTGAACATGATTTGATGTCTTGGTTTCATGTGCTGTAGTTGAAATTTAGTTTCTGGGATTAAGTTTCTGTATAATCATGTGTTTAGCATGTAATATTACTCTTCACGGTGTTGGATTTTGTTTGTGATTATATTTCCTTTGTATTGCGTATGCTCCTGGAACTAGTTTCTTATCCTAGAGCAGAAGCGTGAGTGTACAGAATAGATTAGGAGCATGTCTGAATTAGGGGACAATATGCAGAGGATGCTTCCGTGCTGTTGGTACCTTAACATCCTTGTCCCAAATTTCATAAGAATCACATAGACCAATCATTTCAAAAACAATTTTTGAATTCAATGGAAATCAATGGCCTAGATCTTGTCGACATTTATTTTGTAAACAAATTTTGTTTTACAACGGGATTACTTGATTTTATAAATACCGCCACGTATTTGTGAATTCGTAGCTTGGATGTGTGAATTCCATAAAATTTTGCACCTGTCGAATAACACTGCTCTCGTATTAGTTGACTACATCAAAATAAGATCACGAGTCATCAAGAGATCCAAAAGACTTCTGCCACTAAGATAACAAATAGATCTCCACATTGAAGACTTGGTGACTTTATAAATACAAAGAGGGGTTGAACAACCATTCATGATTCATTACTATATAAATACAAAATGCCTTGAAATCTATAAAGTACCTATCAGATTCTTTAGCATTGTGGTTACTTTGTACAAAACTACTTGTACATAAACACTTTCAGACTCAATTTTTCTCGGCTGTTTCGCAAAGCATCAACTACGATGCCACATTTATTTGACTTGTTGCTCACCTTTAGATCAGATGGCCTTAATGGATGTTTACTAAGTAGATATGTTTACTAATGTGTGAAAAAACATTAATGACCATAAATGTGGTGAAATCATAAACAAAAAGGTGGAATTTTCACAGAATTAAGTTATCCATTTCATCTAGAACAATAGATTATTATGCTTTTACCTCAACAAAGAGGACAAGAGCGCGAGAGAGGAAATGAGGAAGAGATAAAGGAGATTAAGAAAGAACACATACCAATTCTTCCTTAGGTCCACTGGCAGATTAACTACACCATAACCAATATCATTCTCTGTAAAGTGCATCAAATGCAAACTGTACTAACTCATTCTCTGTCAAATGCATTACAACCAATTTCCAACCAATATACATCAAAAGCATAAAGTAGCAAATGCATACATCAGGATTATAAAAGAAAAAAAAAATGCGAAAGTGTACTAATTCGTTTGTAGTGTATTATAGAACAGAGATTGTACGAAGAATCGCACAGCAGCTTCCCTTACACTGCTACTCAGGCAAGGGAGCCAGGATATTCAATTAATAGTCGACAATCAATGAAGCATATGAAGAAGAACGTTCAATCCTCAAATTGGTTATAGATATAGATGAAATTTACCTTTACTGCACTTCGAATCGCGGTCGGCAGTTCCAACAAACAACTGATTTCAATCAATTTGGGGTTCCTTGTGTTCTTGGTGTGATTACAATCGATTTAGAATACGGTTAGAGGATTATTTTTTTGGAAATTCTAATGTTGTCTTTCCCTTGTGAAATATGTGAATGTTGTGTTTGGAAAATAATGACATGGCGTTGAGTTGGCGGATGAATTTACAGTTGGACGAAATTAACTGGCCACAATAGTTTTTCGTCCTCCACTTAGGCATCATTTTTAACTCCATCCATTCGGTGAGTAATCAACAATGACGGAGCAAAGTTTAGTGGCTAATGGGACAATGGATGAAGTTGGATGACTAAATCGTGACATGATGCAAATTTTAGTGGCCATTGAAACATTTAACTCCAATAAATAGTGTTGAAAAATGTTTGCTGATTTTGAAGAGACCCAATTATATGCTGCTACTCTGGCCCAAACTATTGGCCCCACTAACTGGTCCAACGAATTAGAAGAATCTGGAATTGTGAA